ATTTTCTCCACTGTTTGTTCATTGAGAGCATCAATAAAATATGAAAATATGATTAAATGAAGTTACTGTGTGGAGTTTACTGGGGCTATGACTATAAATATAGTTATTGTCACCTTTACTATTATCACAATTGCATCCAGCACCAAGATCCCCTAGCCTTCAAAATAAAAGCTCAGATTCTTTTCACAACAGGTCCTATTTACGATTTTAATCAATACCCCCCTTTCTTTTTTAATAAGAAAATTACAAATGACAGAAAATATTGTAAAAAAAAAAAAAAAAAGTGTTTATTTTAGTCATCCTGTCTGTGAGGTGTTTCAGGGCCATGCAATGACCATTTTTGTTTCATTACAAGAACATAGTCATAATATTAGCCAAGAAAAGCAATTTTACCAGAAAAATGTCTTAAAATGTTGGCTTTAAACTTAATCTTGGAGCTTTGGGTTTCTAAGTGTCCGTCTGTGTTGCAGCTTCGGTGTAACTGTGATGGAGAGGAGCCACAGCCTGACTTTGCAGAAACTCGGAGGAATCCATAACTACGCTGTGATCACTGTAGACGAAAGCACAGCTATCGTCATTCAGGTATCCGGACACATCAGACTTCTGGCGTATCCAGTCTCTATGCAGGATCTGCTCCACCTCAACATTAAATACTAATTTGGATAAATTAGTATTGTTTGCAAACCATCTTCAGTTTGAACGGTTTTATTTTATTCAACTTTTATGTTACTGGTGTTAGACATGTCATAATTCTGGACGTAAACAATGGCTGAAAATTATAATTATGAACTAATGACAGAAGTCTGTCTCACTGAAGAGCAACGCATCAGTCAGACCAACTCCAGACTCTGACCTCGCCTCCAAACAGAGTTCAGTGGAAATACAGGAGAAGTTTGTATTAAATAAACATATAAAGCTTCCTGTTTTAAAGGAAGGGAATGTGGTGACTTTTGTTGTCGTGTCTGTCACTGACACAGTTTTTCACTTTAAGTGACATCATTGTTGATGACTGACTGATCTAGTCTGTGCTGTTTGGTGTGTGTGTGTGTGTGTGTGTAGGAGCAGGGTGAACTGGGTCAAGACCGAGCCAGTGAGAGGCTGGTGATGAGGCTGACCGCTCTCTCTCTGCAGTACAGCTGCTGCTGGCTCGTCCTGCACTGCCCTGACAGCCGAGGCGGAGGGTCAGAGTTCACTAAAACTTCATTACGCTGATCAACCCACTGACTAACAAGTCCTTCCTACCTATTAGCAGACTTTCTTGTAGCTTGGTAAACTCAATTTGATCAATAACTCTTTGGGGGGTTTTGTAGATCTTCATACTTCGGCTGGTTTTTCACTTATCACTGCTTCACTTTCTGACAATCTCAGAAATATTTTTGTCATTTAAGCCATTAAACTAAACTTTAAATTAATTATTCATAAAAAGGCTCCTAAAGTCAAAGGATTAACCAATATGGAGACAACCTGTTAGGGCTGGACAATACATCAGTATCAGTAGATAATATGTTTGATACAATATTCAGCGGTCAACTAACTCGCTCATTCTCTGGTTACCTAGCAACTCATTCTCTGGTTACCTAGCAACAGCCTTTTGAGTAGCTTGTGCAATAGCAGTTTGAGTTTCTCCTCTGTGCCTCATAACTGCTTAAAAATAAAACAACGGTGTGGAGTGAAAACTGGCAGCATTTCAGATATTTGAGACAAAAAAACTAATCAATAATTATCAATATCGACTGATATGAACCTCAGCCATATCATCCTGCTCTATAGCTTATTATCTAAACTTGTTTAATAATAAATTAAAATAATTTATTATTCTAATGATTTTTTTTAAATGAATCTGTGAACTGAAGCCTTTTTGGTTAACCAGACTTAAAGGTTTTGTTTTGCCAAACAAACAAAAAAAAAAAAAAACGTTTTAAAATATGTTACCATAATCTTAAATAAAGCACCTTAAATCCAATAAAAAACTTAAAAAGCCTTTTAGAAACTAAGGAGAGCTAGTAATCAAGACTCTTAAGGGGTAAACCTCTAAATGAATTGGGAGTATTTTAAAACCAACTAAGTTTTACTTTAAAGTTTGTGTGTAATTGCAGGTTTTCAAGCGAAACCTTCAACAACTTGGCGTTGGTTTATTCGTCTCTGGTTTTGTTCGGCATGAAGTCCGAGGACCTGGATGTGAAGGTAGAAACAAATGTTTTTAGGTTTTCTGCCTGGAGTGGCTCACAGCAATAAAAAAAAACTAAAATATGTTAAAGTTTTAATGAACAGTCATATTTAATAAACTAGGATCTGTGTTTTTGGTTCTTTATGCAGCAAAAACATTAAATTTTACCAACTGTTTTTGGTCTAGTTTCTATTTTAAATATCTTAGTAGACTTAAAATCAGACAAAACTAACTTACAAGTAACTTTTTAAGAAGAAATATTTAAGCCATAACTTATGAGAAAAAAATATATTTCCCATAAAATGTCTTATTCTAATGTTATTTCATTTATAACTATTACATATTTATCAATATTAAGCAATAATTGACTTAAAACAAGCTCCTATATTTTGCTGAAAAGTTACTTGTAAGTTAGTTTTGTCTTATTTCAAGTTGACTAAGATATTTCCACTAGAAACTCTCCCAAAAATACTTGGTATGATTTGTTTTTTGCAGTGTTTACATAGTTTTAATTAAGCCACATTTCTATTTTAATAAGGTTTATTTTGGTCTGATCGGATGTAGTATTTTCATCTAAACTTTGTGTTTTTATCAGCTGTAAATGAAAAATCATCATAATTAACAACTTAACCTATATTGTGGGTTTCAGTTACTGAAATAAATGAAGCTTTCAGTAATATTCTAACTTACTGAGTATGACTTTATGTCTTCGTGACTCAATTATATTAATAACAAGCAAATTGTTCAGGTATAGAAAGTGTTTCATTTGTTGTATTATTGTGTTGCAGTATTATTTAATGAAATGTGACCAGTTTCACCAGTGGTTTCCCGTTGGTTCTCTCCACTGGTTTTCAGGTGCTGATTGTGTCAGAAGTGTTGGAAATGGCCGAGTTTATCAATCAGATCTGCTTCAGCTCCCTGATGTCCAAATATGGAGATCCTGTGAGCTACCTGGACAGAGACTGGCTGACGGTCAGCCCCTCTCAGGTGAGACTAAAGTTTTATTATGTTTAATGTTTAAATGCGTCTTTCCAACAAAGAAAATCTCTTAGTCTGCCTCTGACACTCTGTTGTAGTTTCCTATAAAGTTCACTCACCAAAAAGCTTTAGACGTTTTTGAATTTTCACATCTCAGCTTTATAAGTGTCTTTGTCGTTTCATTTAGGAGGAGGCGTGTCTGTCCCAGTTCCCGTGTGTCAGTCCTCTGGTCGCTCAGCTCATGCTGAGCAGAGCTCCCTCCCTGCAGTGGCTCCTGGGGGCCGACCTGCCGCAGCTGTCACAGTTACTTCCTGAAGTCCCACAGAAAGTCCTTAAGGTGACGCCGCCACTACTAACCCATTTTTGATATTTTACATTTTTCTGTTTGTATACATTATGTTATACTACTTTAAATGATTATCACTTCAATTTTTAGAGTTATTTTTAAAAAAAGCCCAACTAGGGACAAATGCTGTGAATTAGCTGTTGCTATTGCACCATGATGCAAACATGGGACTGCTGTTTTATTCAGTTGGTCTATGTCGATGTGTGTCTGTCCCCATTAAATAAACTTTATAATAATAATAAAGGGGCAGTAACACGTAAAACTGACTTTTTGGAACCTTTCCTTTACAAATTCCCCACTCAGCTCCTTCAGACTAGCCAGCAGCAATTAGCAAACACCTAATTCGTGGAACTGCACATCAGCCGAGCTCATAATAGGAGCTACTTCTCGGAGCATTACTGGTAAAAACGTTAAAGGGTTAATAAAGAAGACATGTCATTCAGCATTCAGCTTCTATGCACCACAAATCTGGAACAAACTTCCAGAAAACTGTAAAACAGCAGAAACACTGACTTCCTTTAAATCTCGACTAAAAACCCACCTGTTATTTGAAACGTAAGCAATTACGAATTTAACGATGGCACTTGACGATGTAATGTTTTGGTTGTTGATTCTATGATGCATGACTTTGTTTTTATTATGTAAAGCACTTTGAAATGCCTTGCTGCTGAAATGCGCTATCCAAATGCAATTTGATTGACTAATCATTTTTAGATCTGTGTAGCATGAATGCTGCCTCATATCTTCTGATTTTAAGTCTCCATGATGTTGTTTTCTCTTTGAAAGCTTTTCTATTTTGCAGTTGCTATGCTAGCTTCAGAAAGATGAGCATAGCAATTAACATTTCAAGAAATTATTTTAACATATTTTGCAATAATGATTGAAAAACAGATTAGATGTTATAATAAAAAAAGGCACAGTGAAGCTAAATAATGCCACAATGTGCTGCCTCGCTTCTTCCTGTTTTTAGCTGTTCAGTGACATCACTTCCTTGTACTTGAGCAACTCAGAGCCAGCAACCCCTCAGATTAATGAGAGCGGTTCTGAACAACCCTTCAGAACCGCTCAGACCTTCGGCGCCGAGTCCGAGTTCATGAACCTTCTGCACCCAGAGCCTAACAGCAGCTTCCTATGTGGAGCTACGAACCCAGACCTGTTCCCCAACCAGAACCCAGACTCTTCAAACTTCAAACTGGACCTGAACGGTTCCTTTGGGAGTCCTGTTAAGGCCTGGACCGGTCCAGATCCCTGGAAGGAGGAGGAGATGCCTCCTGTCTGGAGAGGCAGAGCTGGAGCGGCAGGGAGAGTCGTGGAACGGGCCGGTGATCTGTGGGCGCCGAGAGATTCCCCAGACATTTCATACCTTCAGACAGCAAACAGCCCGGTTCTACTGGATTCTCGGTTCAGTTCCAGTCACACTTCCTGCAGTGACCTCCAGCATCCCCAGAGCGCTCACTTCATGTTCAGTCAGAGCCCTCCTATGGCGGCTATCTTGGATCAAAGCCGTCACAGTTTGACCAGCAGCGGTTCTTCTTTTGGACCCAAGTTCTGGAGCGGCGAGGAGAGGAAGAGGAGCGGAGACACAGCTGGTCTGGTTGGATCAGGTCAGAGCAGCTCACTTCCTGCGTTTCCTACAAACAAGCAAAACTTTGTTGATATTTCGATAATTGATTTCTTAATTGCGTCGTTTCCATTAAATAATAAACATTTAAATAAGTTTGGGCTAGAGTTGGGCAATTATCGTATCATTTATTATTTATCGCGATAAATTTCTTACCATAAGAATTTTGAAATTTATCGCTGCTACGATAAATTTCATTGATGTTTAAAACCTCCTGAAACTGTACCTGTCTTTGGGATTGTTAATTTTACTATTTTTTCCACAGTTTTTTCATTATGAGTATCAATAAAAGTTAAAATACAATTACTGTTAATACAGTTAATGTGAGCAGCTTAGTGGTAAAAATCACATTTTTATGTAACTGGTGTCCAAAAGAATATTACAACTTTTTCTGACTGCTGTGACACTCAGTCACCAAAAATCACCTAAAAGAGTAAAAGTAATGAATAATTCTTATTGACACTTTTATCATCTTCACAGTGGCCCTTTAAAATAATACAATAAAACTTTGAGTTCACATGATAAGACATTAACAAACATGCAGCGCCATCATCCTCCCACTACTTCCTGTCGTCCTCACTTTGTGGTTTGCACCATTGGTTGTTGATCATGTGACTTGTGTAATTTGAGTAAAATGTTTCCACTGCAGTTTTGCAAAAAACACGAATTTCAATACAAAAAATATAAAAGAAAACACCAAATAATTTTTTTTTAAATTGACGTGTCTTCATTAAGCAAATTGATTTGAAGATGTCAATTCGTGCAGGTATGTGGTCAATGGAAACGCAGCTAATGTTTATTTCATGTTTTTCTAAAAATTGATTTTTTTCTTATCTGAGTGGTTTTGTTTTGCAGTGCTGACGCCGCTGAAGAGGGGAAGGCTGAGCTATGAGAGAGTTCCTGGCAGAAAGGACGGACAGACGAGGCTTAAACTGTTTTAATCTTCTTTTAAAAATGAGATTTTCATTTTATCGGAGCTGTAAATGTTTCCAACATTATTGTTCCTTATTTAAGAGTTTTACCATTTCCACTTTAAAAGGTAATAATAAAAAATGAATTCAAATGTAATTAAACTTAGTTAATTCAGTAGCTGTGATGTAAAACATGTCACTCATATATGATTGTAATTTAAAGATTTTCACAGAAAAGATTTAATAAAATGAGGTCAGCTTGGTCTTCTGTAACTCGTTAATCTGGGAGAAATTATGAATGGATTAAATCACGTCCTTTACTTCCTATTGGGAACAGATGGGTAGTAACTAATTTATGGAGATTTACTTGAGTAACGTTTTGAAAAAAATAGGAGTATTTGTACTATGCAGTACTTTTTGAGTAGCTATTATAAAGTATTGTTGCTCTTGAGTGAAATTTCTGGAAACTGAGTGACATCAGTGAACAAGTTTGTTGTAAATAAATATTAAGTTTTTGTTAAAGTTTTATATTGAAAGAAACATATTTGGGGGAAAAAATGCATGATTTTGTTATTTTATAATGTTTTATTTATATAACATTTTCTGACATAAGCAGGTTCAATTAATAAATAGTAAATATTAAATGTAGGATTAATTGTGATGAATCAATTGCTGAAATAATCGTCAACCAATCTGGTAATTGATTAATCGTTAACTAGAGTATACAGATTCTAAAATAGGCCATTTGCTGAAAAAAAAAAAACATATTCAGAGCACATAAAAATAAATAGATTTTAATTTAAGGTTTAAAAAAACTTTGTAAATAAATTCTCCCAGAACTCCTCCACCTGGTTCAGTCTGTAAAGAAAAAATAAATCACCTATTAAGTAGCTCTTGTTGTCTAATTATTAGTTGGCTTATAGTCAACTGATCAGCTGCATGTTGTATTGATGAGTAAAGCACTTTTAAAATGTTAGGAGGATTTCTTTAGCTCATTTTACAAATTATCAAGTTTCACTAAAGGAATGCTGTTACTGTATTTTGTGCAATAAAATGTTTTATTTTGGAAAAAATGTATTTATCAGCACTTTAAATGCATTTCTAAGATTGCTTAAAAAAGGCTTATGTGGTCAAATGAAAGATCGGCAGAATTTTCCCATTTTTAATGCAATTATTGAATTGATTACTGAGCAGTGGTTAGCTGCAGCCCTAATGAAATGGTTAAAGTAAAAGTTGCAGTTGGTTGTTCATTTTTTGAGTGCGCTCAGTGGCAGAGGAAGCAGTGATTTATGGGTGGTGGGCTGGGATTGAGGGTCTTTCCCATCTCCACTGATAAAGTCTCTCATTTTAGCAGCTCCATTGGTGGGGATTCTTTTTTATATATAATTTAGTGAAGCAATCCCCTTATCGTGGTCTCTCAGCGTGTGAAGAGAGTGCTTATCTGCACGAGCCAGCAGACTGAAGCCAGTTCCCCCAGGAATGATCCCCAGACAAAGAGCCCTGGGGACTCCCGGCCTCCGGCCAGCCACTGCCGAGCCGCCATCAATAACCCTCCGCCGTCTTTTCTGCGCCTCGGCCCGGCCTTCCGAGCGGCGGCTGGACAAAGAGAGAGGAATGGCTCATTTTATTACTTGCTCAGGAACAAAAGCGCCTGGTCGGGTGGTCAACGGAGTCTCTCTTTGAGGGCGAGGTAAACAGCGGCCTAAATGGTGCGGTAATGGTTCCTGAACATATTTGAGCGCTGGAGTGAATGGGCCGGCAGAGATAATGTGGGAATTAACAGGCTGTTTAAACCCGACCGGGTCCGACTCTGGATTCAGCTGAAAAGGTCACACCGCCGTTATCTCTCATCGCAGACGGCAATTAAACCGTCACCTGTGTGTTTTCAAGTCTTCGAGGAATACGACCTCCGGGTCGGATTACAGATCAGAACCAAACGAAAGTTAAAGAAACCTACAAATATGAAGGTACCACTTTATAACTGGTACTCTGCCCTGCTCTCTCATATAGGAGAGCAGGGCAGAGTACCCAAAAATTATAATCAACTAGTAATGCTTCAATATATTTTTACTAAAGTAAGAGTACAAAAGTATTTGTTAAAGTCTACTCCTGAGTGACCGATCAAATTATAAATTATTTAATATTTAAAAGTTACATCATTAGATGGAACAAAGCAAAAAGTTAAGTGGAAATTTTGGTATTTTAAGGACCAAAATGACAATAACTGATATAATAATGATAAACATAACAAAATCTAGCAAATTTTTCCAAATCAGTTTCTTTTAATAAAAAAAAAAAACCTAATAAAATCGGCTGGTGTGTGTTTTTGTCTGGTGAAATTTTGATTAAAACATGTTTGTTTTTCATTCAGTGTGTAGAAAATCCAGAAATTTTACTCGAGAGAAGCAGTACTTCCTAATAATTACTCAAAAGTAAATAGTACAGCGTAGTAAAAATACTCCTAAAAGTAAACTTTTTCCATAGTTACTTGGGTAAACGTAACTAAGTAAATGTAACTATTTACTAACTTTGATTGTAGAAAGCTAATAGTTCATAGACGTTAATTTATCTATAAGTACTTTATAAATTAATAAGTTTTTATTACACATTAATTAAGGGTGTGAAGGAGACTATGGCTGCGTTCAGACTGCAGGTCTTAATGCTCAATTCCTTTTTTTGTCGTGGTCGTTCAAACTTCTAAATAAAGCGACTTGATCGTGATCTCCAGCGTGAACGACCTGAAAGTGTCTCGCATGCGCAGTAGAGGGCGCAATAACGTCACACCTAAAGAGGAATATAAAAAAGTAGAAGAAGAAGTGCTCAGTGTTCGGCAAGTTAACATGGATGCTAACGGTGGAGCATAGTTTACGATTTTGAAGTTGTTGTCCGACCGGAGCCAGCACTTTTAACAACTTAATCCTCATTCTAGTCCGCTATGGTTGTTATTCTTCCCGCTGTGAGTATCAGGACGCAGAATAGTGACGTTTATCAAGTGTCAATGACGTTCAGGTCGGATGAACGCGACCTGAACGTCAGGTTACATTTGAATCGGATACGTATCGGATATCCAAGCAGCCCGAGTCGCATTAAAGGATCCGATCCATAGACATAATATAATAGACGCCTCATAGACCGCTCTCGCCTATTGTCGCTGACGAGAT